AGGCCTCACCTAAACACTCCCAACACACCCAGTCCTCAGGATCTGCTCTCAGAGCTGCCTGCAAACTATAAACATAAATTTAAGTTTCAAGGATGCCCCCACTCTTAAAAGAAATCTAGATTAAGGTTGTACATTTAGTTGTCTCAGATGTCCAATTCTTACTCAGCTATGGCCTGTTGATGTTCTCCAGTCTTCAGGTAGTAAAGGCCTCGTCTCATCCAGGCCCATTTAGCCGAGCCTGGAGTGGCTTTCTCTATTACTGACTGAAGTACTGATAATGCAGTGTCCATATCCTCCTGCCCCATACTGAGATCCACCGATGCAGCTCCAGACTCAGCATCGCCATCATCCAACTGAAAGGCCTTTTTATAACAGCCTTGTGCACGGCCATAATCATTCACCACCTCCCGATAATAATGGCCAAGGTAGCGAAATACACAGCCGAGGTGTGGATCTAACTTTGCAGCCTGAAATGGACAAATGAAGATTTCAAACTAAGATGCCATTCACCTCTGAAAAAAGAACTGCGTCACTTTGTAAAGATTCATGAGAGCAAATCCAGTATTTCAAGCTCAATTTTTCAGAGATTTGGCCATGAACACTTAGGAGTATACATTAGGCAAAGACTTTATTTATCTAAAATATTACACATTAATATAGTTCTCCTTGCCTTCCATATATTCAAAAATGCTAATAATAATTCTACTAGCCTTTAGCAAGTGTGTATGGGCTTTGCTCCGGTCTTTACGGGTCTCTTCTCCCATGTCCCAATAGAGTTGTCCAAGCAAGAAATAATACTCTCCACAGTCTGGTCCCTGGCTAGCAGCCTTTAGGAAACTACACAACAATAGCACAAGAATAGACAAGGTAAATGTGGAGAACCAAATCATTTTGTAGTAGACAAATGGACTGCTTGAATGAAGTTGAACAGAGTTCAATGCCACAGAAAACATAAATATAAGAAGAGCCGTGCAGCTTTTACCTTTGCTCTGCCAGCTGCTGCTGGCCTTCAGCTAAGTGTATCAGTCCTCTCAGTGCAAATCCCTCAGCTAGGTTTGGGTTGGAGGTCACCAGCTCTGATGACACCTATAATTGACAAAACAAACATAATTTGTACCGATCTATCTTTGATCTAAAAAAAAAAAAAGAAAGGCACATCTTCACATCATGGCATAATCAAACTGAATATGTTTTGAAGTATTTATTTGTGTTTTCCATGGTTATAATAAAGTAAATCAGACATTTTTAATCAGTGGATAAGGGGTTTCTACCTTAAGTGCCTGCTCAATCTGTCCTTTGTTGAGATATGCACGTCCTTTAAGGGCTAATAGAACTGGATCCTTTTTAGCCTCTGAAATCTATTCAAGAAAAGAAAAAACAGCTTAGACATGACATTTACTTTGATGATCTCTAGTCCTAAATACAAAATGTATTATTTTTGCAACCACAAAATTTTTTAGACTAAATCTAGAATAAATGCTTAAAAATCCAGAATTGCTCAATATGTCATTATATTCAAAGAAAATTACAAAGTATACTACATACAACATGCTGAATAAGCAGAGCATTATTCAATTATATTACCTGGGAAAATGTCTCTAAAGCCTGGTCTGCGGCCTTCTCTCCTCCACTTCTGACTAAAGCCTCAAGCTTTAATCTAAGCAGTTTGACCCTCAGCTCCTTGTCTCCAGAAACACATACATTCAAACCTAATAAAACAAGACATGCACTTCAGTTAAGTATCTTTAGGATTAATGAGTGCTGACCTTTGAAGACAGTGGTTAACGTCCTTGTTCATTCACAAACCAATCTGATGTTTGTTATTAATTACCTCCTGCTGAAGTGTGACTGGAGTCTGACTGGCTCAGTGACTAATTACCTGAGTAACTATAGTGATACAGATCAAGTTACCTTGGGAGCATGATGTAGCACTGTCGGGGTATCTGTGCATTTTAAACTGAGCTTCAGCCAGACTGTACCATCCTGTGGTTGAGCTTGTTTTCTTGAGTCCTAACAAAACAGAATACACAGATCAGTGGTAGTTACCACAAAAGGGTCTGGTTCATTTGACACTGAGAGCAGAATGCATTATTTAATAATGTGAAAACTAACCTTGTGCAAGGTCCTTAATGGCATCTTTATACTTCCCTTCTTGGAGTGCTTTGGTACCCAGACCCAAGTGACCTAATCCACTGTTAGGGGCCAGATCCAGGAGTCGGGAGAAACTGCCAACCGCATCCTCATCCATGTAACCTTCAAATGAAAATAAAACATATATTACAATGAAATTAGAACATGTACTAACCACACACACACACACACACACACACACACACACACACACACACACTTGTGTTACTTAATAGGGTTTTATTTTTTTTTTTAAATATAACAACTTTTTGTATTATTGTCAAAATATTTTTGCAATATCATTAAAAACTCTTTAATATGTATGCAATATGACTTAAGATGTTGTGAACAAGACAACAGTGTCCTACCTGTTCTAAGGTAGTGAGAACAAAGGACCTCAAGAGGATAACTTTGGTTGGGGTAGAGGGCCAACATGGATTGGCATGCCACTTTCATTTTGGTTTCTTCTTGTGGCATCTGCAGTAAGGACAGATTCATTCCATTTTGTTTACCAAACAATTTTAGGAAACAGGTCCTTTAATTTCCGAGATGGTGAGACAGATATGTGAGACAATGCACTTACTTTAGAAAGACATTTAACATAGTCAGTCGAGACCTTCTTGTGTTCGTCGCCTGGTACAGGATCCATGAGAGCCAAGGCCTTCTCAAATGCTGTGATTAGCTGATGGCCACAAACAAACGAAACAAAGAAAGAATATTGTTTTTATTTTCCGTGGTCACCGGGACAAAGTGGCGCTTATGGTATCCATAAACAAAGGCAAACCTGCACTAAGTTCTGACTGTTACAATGGATTAGGTTAGAGGAAGACGCAACGTGTTTGCACTTAGAAAATAACAATCACAGAACTGATGAAGCCTTTTGGATGAGAGGTGAAATGTCTTCAAGAAACTCAAGAAAGTCCATTTGCTATGATTAAACTACGAGAATAACCATGACCTGGATGACTGAGAATATTCACAGACAACAATCACATGATGCTGATGAGTTTAAGTCCACATTGGGAAAAGTCTTACATGCTGTTGAGTTTCATTGTCCTGCTCCTCCTCATTAAGACAGTCTGACAGGAGCTGGGTCATCTGTTGCAATAGCTGCACTAACTCTTTCTTATCCACAGCCTCTTCCTCCTTCAGCTGAATGTGCTGCAGCCAAACCTTTGCCAACTGTTTGCACAAATACAATTTCATTCAACTATATTATGTAAAACACCATAAACACTCTATTTTCATTTGTCTTAAACACAAATTTTTAAAATGACATACCTTTAAATATTCTTTGTCAGACTGATAAATATCCGACAGCTTTTTGATCACCTCATAACATTTGTTTTTGTCTGAGCTGTAAACAATAAGTAACGTGTGTGTAAATAACATCACAAGTAAAATATTTGAAACGAGTCAAAATGAATAAAAAAATAGGTGCAGATGTCAATATAAAATGAACATAATTCTTAATTACATTTTAAGAAATGTGTCCTTATAAAAATGTTTTCACATCTCACCTTGCATAGAGCTCAACAAGTTTCTGATAGATGTTAGGCAGCTCAGCTTTGAAATCCCACTGATCAGTCTTTTCATAAAGATTTGCTAAGCCCTATAAGGGAAAAAAAAAAACATTAATGACAACATGCATAATGAAGAGGCATGGGGAGACAAATGGTATAATATAACAGATTCTCAGTAAAGATGGATATATCTTTGAAAGACCTGATCCTCTAGTGGCACCCAGATGTAATTTTACTGATCTAATTTCAGTCCAGACGATTATTATCAGCAAATTGATTGCTCTCAGTGTAAGATACCCAAGAAGAGTCAATGATATTAAACACCTCAAGAGACATGCTTGCATGTGTAAGTATGTTTTTGCACTTTACCTGCCAGGCCAGCAGCTGCTCAGGCTCCAGCTCCACGGCCTTTTTGTAGGCTGTCTGTGACTGATCAGGTTGATCCAGTTCACTGGCTGCCAATCCGATGAATACCCATGCATTGTAATTGTTCTTCTCAAGCTTCAAAACAGTCTATAACCACATTAAAAACAGCAAAGTCAACTATACAATATATTTCTTCCTCTTCCTAGGAAGTGATTAATATCAGATGCTCATACTTTATATAAATACCACGTCTATCTGAGAAACTTTACCTTGCAGTGTTTTAGAGCCTCTTTGAACTCTTTGTTTTTAATGGCCTCTCTGGCACTTTTCAGTGCCGCTTTCACTTCTTTGTTAGACATCTTGAGGTTGATGGGAGACAACAAACAAATATATTAAAAGAAAAACTGTCACATCATCACCCAACCCAAAGTAACGCTTCACCAAAGCACATCGCTTAATGGATCAATAACATAAGAAGCGTCGGTATAGATATCAAATCGACTTATTAACGCTGACAGTTTGACCCACCACAAGTTGCAAACATTTTCTGACATGATAACTACCCTGTAGTGGTGATTTAACCCGTGTTGACAGTTAACTTCAGGACTACATCAGCTGTTAGCAGCGTTAGCTTGCCAGTCTTAAACACAACGTAGCATTAGCTGTTAGCTTGCCAGGGTCATAAACTGTGTACTTTACAATGAAAATAGAATCCAAACCTTATTTTTTTAACGTATTAGAACATTTGTTGAATTGGCCGAGCTAGCTGTAACCCTTATAGGTTTAGAAAATGTGTATAAAAGTTGGGGCCACCCACTGTTTACGTTGACAATTTGCACAGCGGCTCCAGCATAACACGGAAGTGAAGGCGAAACTACAGAATGCATTTTCAAAATAAAACTACGTACAGCTCAAAAGAGAGCAGATAATATCAGACAAAAATAAAAATTTAAATCGCAGACAAGCAAAGCAAAAAAGCACAATCGTGAACAATATATTTATTTTATCTTTACAAATAAAGTCCCACTGACAAAGTGCCGCAAGTTTGTGTTGAGGTGGAGACATTAAAAGGACACTTTGATGTAATCCATCATTATAGGCTGACTATTGCTAAACTATTACACTTTCTGATAATTTGTACTCTGAAAGGATTTAATAAATCATGCCTCAGCTACCAACCTGATGCTATTACACAAATATTAAACCCCTTACTACTACACTATACAAAACTAAAATATAAATAGGAATCAAACACAAAACGGTCGACTCAGTCTTAAACACAAGATGTCCTGAGATCATTTTAGAAGGGCTGCAGGCAAAACTGGAGCACCGAATGTTTTTCTCAAGAAATATATGTAGTGTTAACATTTTGTTTCCTAAATAACCACACTATGAAAGTACAGCAACACAACTGAAATACCAATGTGCACCACTAAAAAGCATGTAGCATTTCTTTGCCCCTGGTATAAGAAAAAAAAAGTTAAACATTCAACCAGGGCTTTATGGAAAATAAGTAAAACAGCTACAAACAGCAAACTAGCGCTTTTGATGGCGTGCAAGCAGTAACATGGTTATACTGACTTGTCTTGGCTTAATTTTATGTGGTAACAGTTTTAAGATAAATTACATTTGATCCATTTCACAAATTAAATTTCCTTTAAGATGACATGTATTTTGTCATCCTCAAAAAGATTTTCTCATTCAACAGTGACACAGAGCAACAAGCAACTGGCAAAATGAGACACTAACAAAATGAATATTTTTAAAAGGGCAAAAGAAGCATAAAAGTGATTCTAAGTAATAGTGATCCATAACTAAATCCCATTACAAAACAAACTGGAATTAAACTGTGACTATTTGTTTTCAGATTTGTCTTAGGTTAACAGTTTCAGTGTCAGAGTGCTGTCATTTCACTTACCACTGTGATTCTGGAATTCAATGTCACTTGTAGCAATGACATGCCCACTTTCATGAGCATGCCTGTATTATCATTTGGTTTTTTTTTTTTTTTTTTAAAAATCAAATGCCTTTCAAGCAATGCGTAGGCACTGTTTTGAGGGTATTTTATTTATTCCTTAAAAAGACACTCAATGAAAAGTTGAACTTACCTACTTTGCCAGGTATACCTTTTAAACAATATTCACCCAAACTCATACAGCAAATATGATAAAAAGCCAGCGAGCCCATCAATGACTCTTCCATTGTCGAAGATGTGTGACTAAAAGTTCAAGTTTAATCAAAGTACGATTCCAGCTCGCTAAAAATACACCAATCTCAGCAGTTTGACCCTCAGTAAACTAAAATTATGCCAAAGTGCCATTGAGCCAATTGTCTATAGCTCCCTCATTGGCTAACACATCCTTTTGCCAATCCACATGCCACCTAAGGTTAGCGATGACCTGGCTGTAGTTTGTCCCCAAACTACTGCGCCACGCACCAAACGCTTTTTTATTGTAGACATGGACAGCAGTGGAGACTTTTGGATAGTCCACAATGTTACGCAATAGCTTCTCCAGCTGTGCCTGCACATCTGGGAATTTGAGAACCACATTATGAAGTTCCTCCTTGTCTAGTGTAAGGTCTGCAAAACAGGAAAAGAAATATAAAATGGCATTATAAGGGTGTTTTTTTAATGAAATGATATCAAGTATCTGTAGCTTAGAATTTACCAAAAAGCTGTGGGGGGACACTCGTGCCATCTGCATAGGTGATGTATTTCCACCGACCCCTTCTCAGCATGTATGTAGAGGCATTGACATTACAGCCATGATATTCACTCAGTACCCAGTGTGGATGCTGATTCTTGGAAAAAGTACTGGACTTCGATAGTAGAGGAAGGAGGGAGTGGCCACTTAGATTACCTACTGCTGATATACCAGCAAGGTCTGTAAAACACAAACATTGTTATATCAAGTTAAAATAATAGATCAATATCCATCCATTATCTATACACCACTTAATCCTCATTAGGGTCGTGGGGGGGCTGGAGCCTATCCCAGGTGTCTTAGGGCGAAGGCAGGGGACACCCTGGACAGGTCACCAGTCTATCACAGGGCTACACTTAGAAACAGACAACCAAGCACACTCACATTCACACCTACGGACAATTTAGAATCACCAATTAACCTCAACATGTTTTTGGACCTTGTGTGAGGAAGTCGGAGAACCTGCGCTGCACAGGGAGAACATGCAAACTCCACACAGAAAGATCCCGGGTGTCCTCACCGGGACGCGAACCGGAGACCTTCTTGCTGCGAGGCAACGGTGCTAACCACCGAGCCACCTTGCAGCCCTAAATCAGTATCTACTAATGCTTTAATTTAGTTGCTTTGCAGACAGTATGTCTCCACATCTTAACAACTATGACACTTTTATGCTGTGTTTAAACAGAAATTGTAACCCTTAATAGTATTTTTAGAACCATGTTTTCTGTCGACCTCCTTACCCAGCACAGTGGGATAGACATCAACTAAAGACACAGGCTGCTTGACCTGCAGACCAGACATCAGCCCGGGCCCCATGATGAGCAGGGGAACATGGGAACTGCCTTCAAACATCGACATTTTGTAGAACTGCCGGTGCTCCATGGCCAGCTCTCCATGGTCAGCTGTAAACATGATGACTGTGTTGCTGAGCAGGCCAGTGTCTCTCAGAGCTGAAATCACACGACCTGGTGGGACAGAGCGTGAGTAAGCAACAGGATGCTGCTAAACTTCAGTAGCAGTGAAAGGGTAGAGTGGTGATAAACAGGAAGGATCTCATTTCTGATAGTTACACAGATAAAATATTGTTGAGCATGAGTTAGTGTGACTTTAAACGCGAAAATGATATAAACTGTATACTTTTTTTCTTCCTGATGCAGAGTACACTGCTGTAGGACCTGCAGTAAATCCTTCTCACTCATATGCCACGTTTACATTATTGTGCCTGAACATTTACTTCTTTTTCTTTTTTATCTTTGTTTGTTCAACACTACATGTTCCAACAGGCTGCCCTGCATAAGCAACTGCTAATTTAATGTTATTTGTACTGATAATTTGATATGTAACTATTGCTGATAAACCTAAAATAGTTCCTTCCTGCTACTATATTACACTATTAGACTACGATATTGTGCACCAAACACTGCCACAGAAAGTCTCTTTCTCAGACTACTTTACTCGGCTTTTTTTCTCCCAAGTGGAACCCATAAAAACAGCAGATTGTTTTTTTCCTTTCCTACAGTACATTTGAGAAACACAGCAAAAGACAGCTCCTTGCATGTTTGCTCTGCTTCATTAACTATCATACCAAGACAGTTGGTGTTACCTCGTGCCATCTTTGTGAGTACAAAATTAAGCTATAAATTAAATTCAGAGTCAAAGCCTTCAAGGTGAGATCAGTCTCTGGTGAATTACTGCAGTCAGCTCACCCAGCATGGCGTCTGCTTCAGCACACATGGCATAATAGAAAGCACGAATGCTTTTGACTTCCTCCTCAGTGAAAACGCCGCTGCAGTTTTTGGTGACGGTGGAATAGTAGTCAACAGGGTGCATGGCAGCCATAGGCAACCACTTGGGAATAGAGATTAGCTCAGAGGACACCTTTGTGTGTAAAAAAAAAAGAAGCAGGAATTAGGATTTCATGCAAAAAAAAATACACTGTATAATTTGCAACAGTTGAGGGAAGGAAAGCATGCCTTTGTAAGCCAGTATGGTGAGGTACGGAAGGTGGATCCTCCCGCAGTGGGCCCAAGAGATTCAGTTTGATAGGGGTGAGGTAAATTGAGGCCGAGATAAAGAGCGAAGGGCAAGTGTGAGGATGCAGCTGTCTCATGGATCCACTGTGTAGCCTTATCTGTGTTTTGCCAGTCTTTTTTCATGATTCTTACAGTCGACTTGTTCCCAACAAGTTCAGAAACCGGCCGGCCCTCTTGGCGCAGGAGGAACTGAACATCTCGTGTCCACGCCTCAACACGGTTGCTTTAATAGATACATAAAAATAGGGAGTGGAAAAAAACATGATAGACGAGGATCCAGAAAGATGAATCACGCTGTTCTCGGGGAAAAAAAGCTGTACTCATAGACAGTCTGTTATTGCTTATTACTCAGAAAATAAGTCCCACACCATTATGTAATACTGATCTTAGGTTGGTGAACAATAATCAAGGTTTTCTTACCTGAGAACATACAACTTCACAGACATGCTCAGACAGATCTCCAACAGTGTTTGCCTACCTGACGGTGTGACTCCCTGAGATATAATCCAGCTTGCCAATCATCTTGGTAAGATATCCATTCTTCTCCAGCAAATCCATCCACGTGGTCGCATTTGCGTCTAAACCCTTGAAGTTGTTCCACGATTGAGTGAGATGAACAAACTGGCCACTCCACATGGCTGAGAGCAGAGATTAGACACTTGAAATACAGTATAAAACACAAGTTGCAATATGAAGGGAAATTTCAAACACATTTAGTGGACAACTCTGCCGTGTACCTGCTCTTGAAGGGCAGCAGATTGGAGAGTTGGTGTAGGCATTCAGAAAAGTGGAACCGAGCTGCCTGAGATAGTTTATGTAAGGCAGTTGAACAACTTTGCTGCCAGGATCAAAGGATAGTCGACCATCCTTAGGAAACATGAAAGATGAGGTGAACTTAAAGAGATTAACATTTACAGTCAAGAAAGGATTTAAACACAATATGAAGCATTCTGCATGTGTCTGATGTTGACTTGAAAACAAAAATCAGTGCTATCGAAGCAGTTCCCATCCAGTATTAAAGTACAGAAACTTAATTCATACTTACAAATGCATCACTCATCACCATCACAATGTTGGGTCTTGTCACATTTTGGCAATTACATTGACAGTAAATCTGCAGAAGGAAAGCTAAAGCAAACACTGATGTATTCATGACAACTCTTCACCTCTCATAAAGTTAGGTGATCTGCTGAGGTAAAACTCGAAGATTCACCGAGAATAGATGAGAGTCATGAGAGCAGACGCGTCGCTCTGCCTCTCTTTAACAACAAACGCTGGTCCATTTCGATCCTGGTCAAAATTTCAAAATAAGAGTGTTTTCATTACGCTTGAAATGAACCTGTTCAGATTTTAAAGAACATAACATCACTGAAGATAAATCCTCATTTATGAACACAAATGTTTAATTATCCTCCACCCAAACATTTCGAAAATAATCAAGGCAAGAAAAGAAAACTCGATCAGGTGATATTTAAATCAATCCTCATTTTCAACTTGTAATGACAAACAGAAGACTCTAGAGGGAGGCATTTATCCAGATACCAAAAAGATGCATGTTATTGAAGTAGCATCATTGCAATGATATCCACTGTATACTATTACTGTCATGAATTATCTAATGATCACAAATATGTATGCCTCTATGTTTGTGGGCAACTTAATATTTACTTGGGCTAATTCAGCTCAATTCAGTTTTATCTGTATGGCATTCATAACATTTGTCATCTCGATGTACTTCACAAAGTAAGATAAATGCCTTTTATAATTATTGCCAGAAACCGAACAAATTTCCTTGGATTTCTTGTTAGCAAACACTTGGCACAGCGGGAAGGAAAACTCCCTTACACCAGGAAGAAACGTCAAGCAGAGCCAGGCTCAGGGAGGGCGGCCATCTGCCTCCACCAGTTGGGGTGAGTGCACAGGGAAGAGAATAAAAACCTGACAGCAAATAGAAAACTGGTAAACAACACATCAGAGAAACACTGGGATGGTTGGTGAGGGCAGTTCAGAAACATGTAGCTCCACAGTCAGAGATATGCACTATGGAAGAGAGAAGGCACAAAGTTAATGACATGCAGTGTTGCCATATAAAGGAAAGAAAGGGAGGAAAGATTCTTAGTGCATCATGAGAAATCCTCTAGTAGTTTAGATCTATAGTAGTAAACATAAGGGATGGTTGACAATCACTTGAGCCAGCCCTCTCTATAGTACAGTAAATAGTGACATAAAATTGCACCATACGAAACAGTAAATTGTGCAATTTTTTTAGCAGGAAATCTGATTTGTATTACTTAGATTTTATGTGTTTACTGCTTGTGTTTGAAACAAACACCATTCCAATTTAAATCAGATGGCACTGATCTGTGCTGAGGATATACCAGCTATGCACCTACAGATATAAGCATTCTAAAATATTATCTGTAACTCAAATGCCGTCTAAGAAAGATAACTCTTTACTGAATGGTATGGCACCTTGAAGTCAGCCACACTGAATTAAAAATCAAAAGTTTTTTTTTTTTGGCAATCATCAGGTGTGTACTGATAGCCATGCACCTGAGTTATTGAGATGTTCAACAAGTGATACTGCAGCTCATGTTGGAAACACTGGCGTCCGCTGGGTGGCGTTTTGAGCCTCAGAGTTGTTTTTCTGTAACCTGGGAGTTCAAGCACAATGGGAACAGTCCTGTATGTGTGCATGGATCATTTAAACCTAACTACAAAAACATATATATGTGAGATATAAATAAATATAGGCCGCTTTTATGGCTTTTCTTCCTCCTTAAATCACAGGCTTGTAATGGTGTGCACGAATTCTTGCATGGCCTTTGCTGCAGGCATCATACAAAAAGCATCTCTGTTCATGTTGTTGACTGTGCACAAATGTAGACGTTGCAGGGACTCTGGATACATGAATCTATGTGAGTGGATGAGATCACAAGTGAATGTGCACACAGTTGTGGCATATGCCTGAACAGGGATGGGAGCAGTCGGTCTGTAAAACGATCCTAAGGGGATGTATGTTGCATGAATCGATCCTATATCACCTATTATAAAGAGTGCTACCGTGTATTTTCTTTTTCTCATGGCACAGCCCTCACATCATTGGAATTAGAAGTCTGATAATAAGTTCGGATGACAGCATCTCGATGAATGCAGTCGTGTATTTTTTAACGTCATAAATCACCTGTAATAGCTCCCTCATGAAACTACAGTGGTGAACATTTCTTTGTGTAGTCTTTCAGCTGTTTGACCATACTTGTCATCTGGCTGTGCGCCACACTTCTCTGCCTTGTTCCAGAAGGCGGAAGGAGGGGGCAGTGGAGCCCTGCGCATGCGCTGATGGTTGTTTTTCTCACAGCCGTCGCTTAAAGTGAGCTGAGCTCCGGGGGTTTCCTTGTCTTTGACTGGAGACCAAGAAGAGAGGCGGATGATAACAGCATCCACTGCTGTTATTCAGCCTTCACTCATCTCAATGAACTGTTCGCAGAGAAGCCACTGATCGTGCCTACTGCTTCTTGCAGGGCAGAGATACTGATCAGTGTCTAAAAACTGCATCCCCCTTTTTTTCCTATGAGAATATTTTTTCATAGACTCCTTTTTTAAAAACAATTCCAAGGTCTCTGTAGCCTTTCTCTTTCCAACCATGGTGCTAGGAAAGGTAAAGAGCTTCACCGTAAGCTACGACTGTCTCAATGACAGCAACGTCCCCGTGTTCTCCAGCGGGGACTGCGTCTCAGGGAGGGTGATCATCGAAGTCACTGGAGAAATCCGTGTGAAATCTCTCAAAATCCACGCGAAAGGATTTGCTAAAGTTCGTTGGACTGAGTCGAGAAATGCAGGATCCAACACTGCCTACACGCAAAACTACACGGAAGAAGTGGAATATCTCAATCACAAAGACATTTTAATCGGACACGAAAGAGGTAAGGGCACTCGGTTGTATTTGTCAGCAGAAGTTTAGTAGAAACTGACTGTGAGATGCTCTTGGGGGAATCATTGGAAGATGCAGTTGCAGGTGGCCGAATAGCAAGCACCATTAAAAGTTGCTAGACTCCGATATGGTGGCTTTTTTGTGTTTAGTAGAGTAGATGTTTTATTCAAATTTCTCGACATTGGCTTCCACACAGCTCCATCCTGGCTTGTTTGTGTCAAGGTGTCAGAATGAATGACAGCAGCTCGGGCATCTTGTGTTTTTTGGCAGCATTTCAAGTGCAAATTAAGGATTTCATTCGTTTTTCACACATAGGGCGACAGGGCAGGGACTTGCTGCCATGTATCTGCAGGTTTGTTGGGAGATTTCAACGCAGAACCGCATCATTTTGGGTGTTTCTTTGTAGCTTTTCTTAAGTTTCCACCTATTGTTCGAGGCGGTTCAATCCTGTTCAGAAAACTGGACCGGGAGGGGGCGGGGCGAGGCGCAGGGCCCCTCCCCCGCCGCGCTGTGATTGGCTGAGGTGCTCATGTGTGGCCAATGACATCATTATCTTGCAGAGTGACAGAAAATTCTGCAACTTTTTAATTAAGAAAACAAGCTGCAAAACAGGAGCAGCTGCGGCTTGAAGTTTTTGCACATATTACAAGCTGCTGCGTCGATATTGCGTTTGCACTGACACGTTTCATTTCCACATGGAAGATAATCTTAATATCGAGGCTCATTGTGAGAAGCTTGCCACAAATGTGTATGAACGACGTGTGCGGCAGGTGAGCAAGCCAGTTGCCATGTTTCAGGCGTTTAAACGGGGAAAAAACAATATTCTGCAGAGCTTTTCTCAAATTGAGTCAATTGCTGCAAGTGCTCACTAAATCCTTAAGCAGTTTCGACAAACTGTGTAAATTTAAATACCGGCTCTGTTTTAAAATAATTTCCAGTGAAAATGGAAGAAATGGTAGAAAATTGGTGGTCGGAGCAGGCTCGCAGCGTCTCTGCTGGTTTGTAGTAGCGACTGCGGTGTCGCACAGTGAATGCGTAATGAGAGCAGCGCGGCTGTAGGAAGCTGCTCACACCGGTTTAGGCCGGTCTCCTCCTGCTGGAGTCTGCCGTTTGACTGACAGCTCCGCACTTGTTTACCACACGGCTGCTGCTTGCTGCTAGGGGGAGGGAGTGCTGAGCTGGCAGAAGCACACCCGGCCTGCTGTCCACCCCAGCTCTTCTAAATGCACTCACTATGTTGCAAATGAAAAAAAAAAAAAAAATTGGATTAATTTGCAACATTTTCCGGACACGAAAGTCTCCTGCCCTCTGCCTCCTGGAAAACTAGACAGCATCCTTCTTCTTTTTTTTTTCTTAAAAAAAAAATCGTAAAGAAGTAGTTTATCCGATTTATCCACAGATTAGGATTTTCTAGTTGCCCCACATGTCCCTTAATGGTCGTATTTTTGCATCATATCTACGCCTAAATAGGACCTCTAGGATGCTTTTTTTCTTTGTTCCTTCAAAAGCACTCACTTGCAAGCTCAGTTTCTGCCACCTCCTAACTTCTCTTAAGCATTTCTCTTCTGTTCATCTCTCTATAATTAATTTATACACAGATAGACGTGATAGTAAAAATCGTTTATTCTCTTTTGTCTTCCCCCCACCCTGTGTTTTTTGGTATGACTTTCAGATGTCTCCGTAGAACATGTTTCCCAGGTATGGTATACATGTGTTTGGAATATTGTCCTCCTTGTTTTTCAGACGATGACAACTCTGAGGAAGGACTCACCACTATCCATTCAGGAAGACATGAGTATGCATTCAGCCTCGAGCTTCCGCAGACGTAAGTGTCCCGATGCTGCGTTTGAGTAAGAGATCAGATATCGGTATCATCATTTTTCGGCAGCAGGGTACATGGCTTTTGGCAGTTGTCATGACCTCTTTCTCCTCTCTCCTCCCTTCTTTTTTCCATGCAGACCTCTGGCTACCTCTTTTGAAGGGAAGCATGGCAGTGTGCGCTACTGGGTAAAGGCAGAACTCCACAGGCCATGGCTCCTGCCCATGAAGACCAAGAAGGAATTTACAGTCTTTGAGCACATTGACATCAACACTCCATTATTGCTGGTAAGCTCCCCTAAAGCGGCCATTACTTTGGCTGAGGCGTTCGTACGAAGGAAATAAAACTTTAGTATGACTCATTCTGCATAGACGTAGTTTTTTTCCTAATTATGGGGCAACTCTGGATAGAATTTGCCATTTTAATCCCTTACGTCATGTTTCCATTTCTGTTGTGGGTGGCCTCATGTTTTCACAAACATCAGCAGGTTTGACCAAAAACAGCCTGAATTATGGAAAAC